CCTATTTCATGGTTGCAGACTACAGCTGGTAAGAAAGATTCATCCATGTTTCAGATATGACAGAGAAGTCTATTCAGACTTGGTTGTGTGTATGTGTCTGTTAATTTAAACTCATAAATTAGATACGATTCACAGAAACTAATTTACAAAGTCTGCAGACATGTGCTGTAGATGGGAGCCCCCTTCTTCCAATTCTGGAAATAAACAGAAGAAAGATTTGGGGATTTCTGTTGTTTGTTGTTGTTGTTGTTTTTTGTGGGGGGGGGGTTAATGTAGATCACTCCATCTGGCTAATGCTAAATCAGCCTTGCCAGAGTTGCATTCCTAAGAATACTTCTGACAAGGAGTTATTTTACCTTTGAAATGTCCCATATTGCACCTTGTGGCAGGTATTTTCCAAAACAAATGCCCGGACGCTCATTTACACCAATGGCCCTTTACATCACTTTAACCAGTAAAGGGGCTTAAAATGGACATTTACACACACTCTAAGGCCCCAAGTATATGGGGACTTTAGTGTGAAGGAGAATCAATCCCAAATTTCTTGAGAGACAATAGTCCTGGATTCTCTTAAAAACTCTTCAACACATCCTAGACATATACATATATGATACTTTCTGCTATCCTATCATTATACACAGCATAGATTTCAGGACCAATTACAAACATTTCCAGAAAAGTACTCGTTTGCCATGCAGTGTTTCCTCCTTTCTTAGGACAAATTTCTACCCCACCCCCTCTTTCTCAGGCTGAGTAGCACCTAATTCCTCATGTAGTCACCATAGATTTCAAATAGGACTGCCCAATGAACAAGGTACTACTCACAGTGAGAAAGGGGGGCAGAATCGAGCACTAAATTATAAGAAACCATTTTTATTTATCTAATGTAAAGCTCTTCCAGTCCTTCACTTCTCTCTGTGAGTTGTTCTTTCAGACAGAGCCTGTCATTTACTATCTGCCTATACAGTGCTTATGAGAATGGAGCCCCAAACTGGTTGAAGCCTCTAGGTGCTACTGGGATATAAATGTACATAATTATAATAATGGCTGGGCTTTTCAAAGGAGTCTGAGGGAGTAACGTGCAAATCCCACTAAAATTCAATGGGAGCTGGATGTCTAATTCCATAAGTTTTCTTTGAAAGTCCCAGCCAGTATTAATAAATACATTTTAATATGTACAGTTATATCTGTTTTATCACGAGCTAAGGGAGAAAAATGTTGTTAGATCCTCTTGTCTAAACAGTTGCAGCATGTCCCTGAATCAATATTATTCTAGAATCTTGCATGCCTGAGCTTAACATTGGCCAAAACATAGTTTTGTTTGAGTTGATTCAGTGAAAATATTCAGCTCTTTGCAAGCTCATTACAGTGGATCTGAAACAAAGTGTACTTCTCAGGAAGCAGAACACAGAGTAGAGAGGTAGGAATGAGCACGTTTTGCTTGCCATGATAACCCTCACCTCATCCCTCACACAAGGCAAAAATGGACTTGAACCAGACTGTGATAATAGGACGATGTGCTAACTAGAGCCAAGTCCCAAGTATATTTTTTCCTACAGAATTTTTTTGAAAATAACACTTTCATTTTGGTCAGTATTAGCCATAGAAATTTTCATATGTTTTTTGCTGAAATATTACATTAAAAAAATCCTAAATTTTCTATCAAAAGCAGACTGTGAAAAATTCCATTCAGTCATAAATCCAATTTTCCCCTGAAAAAGTTTTCGATCAGCTCTAGTTATTACTATTGTAGAATAGTTAGGAGGCTTTAAAAGTGGCTACTGAAAAGAGAAATAATTGCAAAATATGCAGAAAATCAAGGGATTTTGCAAATATTTTCTTCACGTTTGAGGGGATGTTGTCATTTATCTTGCAATGGATTGGTAGTTTTGCTGTTGATTTCAAATGGAAGGATGATCAAGCTTATTGTGATAGTCACTTTAAAGGAAAAACACCTCATTAGGACTAAGAGAAAACTGCAGGAAAAGTGAAAAATCTGTGGGGAATTTCCCTGATTTCTGCAGGGATTTTGTGTACTTATTTTTTTTTTAAGTGCATTATGCTGGACACTCCCTTACTCATTGACTGTTACTTATCTCAAACAAGTTGCTGTGTATCTTTCCTGTCCCTTCCAAATATCATGAAGAGGTTGTCACATGGAAGACAAAAGGCTCAGCAAATCGCTTGAGTAATTACACAAAGTAAAAGGTTGAGTCTTAGCTCTCAACTCAGTCTGTCACTCCATATCTTGTAAAGTGATTTAACATAGTTATAATTTTGTGGCATGGTTTGTACAGCTATTTTACAGCTATATTTGAACCATGACAATAGGTATCCTGGAGCCAGAATCTGTTAAAAATAATTTGGGGCCAAATTCTCGTCTCTTTTATATCCCAGGAAGATCCAATAGGCTTCATTGACCCTCCCCACAAGCATCTGCTACTGATGTACAGCAGTTTGTAACAGCAGTTAAGTAAAAAGTAATTCTGTGTCCACTTATGATAACAGAGAGATTGGGGAACTAGAGGGGAACAATCCTAGTATCTATGGAGGATTCACATTTCCTTGCAGCTCAAGCTATGTACAAACATCCATCTTACAGGTAATGGCAGGAGGAAGAGCATAAATACAATGGGTTGAATTCTGGCAGGTTCTGCCCATTCGATCCACTTCAGAAAATCTATCGGTAAGACTCTGAGGTGACAGTTGTCTGCTCCAGGGTAAAACCAATATTTTGGGTCAAACATTGCTGGTCTTAACTCAGACAAAACTCCCCTTCAATGTGTGGTAGTTTTGGCAGAGTAGGGACTATAGGATTTAGCATTGCATGTGAATTTCCAGGATGGTGGCCTTCAGGAAAAAATATTATAGACGCCATTGATTGTCTTAGATTAACATGAAAATACATTTGGAGAAGGAAAAGAAGAATTAGAAATGAAATTTCCAGTCAAAAGATATTTGCTGACTGTATAATCCTTACAAGTGTCAACAGATGTGATCTCATGCACTGAAACATGTGTTCTTAATTTGGAATTGTTGCCACCAACAGTATATTCTTTTAGAGTTTATGTCAATTTTTGCATCCCACACATTATCGTTCTACAGCTATATTTGTTGGCACATATGCCCACTTGAAATTGGCATACCATCTTGTGAGTGGGCATAATGCCACCACAACAGATGGGTATGCAACGAAACTAGTACAAGCATCAACTCTGACTATAATGGGAGAGATTCCCTTCTGGGAATGAGGAAACAGTAGTCTGTGTAGATACTTGGCATCTAAAGTTAAGGTGAACTGGTATTGCTCATTCAATTCATGGGCAGATTAAACTCTGAAAATCCAAAATTAGCAACCAGAGACTTAAAAGTTGAGTTTTTGATTAACTTGGACTTGTGTAGAACAGGAGGAAATGTTACTACAACATCACCAGATTCTTACTTTTAAGTCTTATTTTCTGCAGTGGCATTTTATGATTTCATTTAAACCCATCACAAAACTAAGCATGAAATCTTCATCCTGTAGAAGTCAGCGGAACACAGATTTTCATCGTAAAGTATCAAATTAAAAAAAAAAACTACTTCCATGAGAAGCAAACATAAACCTTATGGAAATTTCCTATGAAATTTAACAGTAATCTTATCAAAAAGGCTGTATAGAAATTATTTTAAAAGTTTAGTAGAGAATGATATTCGGGGGAGGCTGTTTTGTTTTTAACAATCTTACAGATATCTACAGCAGGGACATAATTTTCTAAAACCTGTCGGATTTTTTCTATAAGAAAAGGAACTGAAAGAAATAGGAGAACAGGTAAATCTCTTATGTAGCAGTCCTTGTCGATCTTCTCTTCGCATTTGTAAACATAACTCCACTTTGGAAGTCTTTTTTCCAGTTACAAAATGTTATGTAAAAGAGGCCTGAGGCAAGATACCTCTTCCACTAGCTTTGCACTATTCAGTGGTGATGATGCAAAGCGGTTGTAAACTTACCTTAACTTGTTGACTAAATTCGGTTTAGCTCAGCTTTGTGTTGCTGCAGTGGTGCAAAGGCATCAAGAGAGAACTAGCCATCCCTGACCCTTGAAAAATGTAATAACCTGATATTACAGATGGTTCCAATACAACAATGTTTACTAGCAAACACTTCAGTCCACGTGTATAATAGGGTACCTAGCTTTGAGTCCAGACCAGAAATGTATGAAAAGACATAGTAAAAAAAAACAAAATATCATAATAAAGTCAGGTCTAAAGTATAATACTGGTATTTTTCTGTTGTATAAGCAATTAATACAATAAATATAAAGGTTTGGAGACAGCCTCTAAATCTAGCTCTCATGCAAACTAAATCTGTAGAAAAATATATATTGAGGATAAGCAAGTAAGGTTGGATCCCTTGAAGAAAACTCATTCCTGGTGTAACTCCACTGGAAACACTGGAGGTACACAAGGATTGAATTTGGCCTATTGTGTTTTTATCATTTTATTATACAGTCAATTAAGGAACCAGAAATATGAAAATTGTCATTTTCTTCTGATTTCTAACTGATTTCTAATAAGTGCCAGAAGAACGGCATTACATTTTTAGGCCTAAATTTTTAAACCTGCTTAACTGATGCAACTAGACAAGTGGCCTGATTTTCAAAAGCACAGGACACCCAACGAGTCCTGTTGACTTCATTTGAAAATGCTTGGTGCTCAGCATTTTTGGAAATTAGGCTTCTTTCTTAGATGCCTAAATATGGACTTAAGAGGGAGAATTTCAAAAACATAATCGACAGTTAGGCCCTGACCTCCCACGAGTGTTTTCAAGGTACAAATAGTAGTTAGGCCCTTATCTTCCATGGGAGTTTTGTGCCTGCCACTTAAGCTTTTAAAACTCTCCTTCTTAGGAGCCTATCTTTACACACTAACTTTTAACACCATTGGCCTTGCAACATATTTCAGGCAAAACAAGAGATCTGGATGATGTAACTGATTGTTTTAATATATTGTTTATACAGGAGAGGAGTCACTCACAATTTTTGTGGACAAGCGGAAGCTGAGTAAGCGATCAGAAGGAAGTGATCCCAGCACCAACAGTTCTTCTGTGACTCTGGAGACTCTGCACCAACTGGCAGCCTCTTATTTCATTGACAGGGACAGTACTCTCCGTAGACTTCACCATATTCAGATTGCCTCCACTGCCATCAAGGTATGAGAAGTCGTTCTGGAGTCTAGCTGCAAACATTTTCACAGATTAAGTAGATCCTCCTCTTACCAGTCATGCCTGGGATTTCATTGATAAAACAGACTTGTTAGGAAATAAATCTTAGTTAAATTTAGTATTATATACAATTTGTTTGATGCAAGGTCTATAATTTCAGTTACACAGATAGTTAGTTTTACTGCATGTTGTTATCCTTTCAGACTTTTAAAAAAATGTGCCTAAGTAACTTGCAAATGCTGACCATGCAGTTGCGTGTAAAAATGCTCTCACACACAATTTGCAATTTCCCAGTGATTATTTATTTATCTATCATCATTATCATCATCATCCATACATTTGATCATAGACACCTGTTTTTGAAAAATATATCCCTTTTATGTTCCCATTCTAGAGAATTTTAGACCCAGCTGAATTAGTCTAAAATATTGTAGGCCACATCCTCTCCTCCATTACACAGGCTTTGCACTAGTATTCCAGCACAAAGCACCTGCCAAGCCTGCTTACTCAACTGCCTTAGGATTTCCCCAGTGATTCTGCATCCCCAAGGGATGTAGGTATTTGTGTATGTACTGTATGAAGCAATATCTATGCATTTGTACAGCTATCCAGCTGTGCTTTTAAAACAAGTGTAGAAATAATACACATCTTTAATGGAAATTGTTAGCGTGAGTCGACTTAGTAGAAATAGCTTATCAGGACAGGATTTCATATCAGACATAGAGAAGCAAATTGAACTGTACTTTGAATAGGAGGTGCCTTCATTATAAAGCTTTTACTTCAGAATCTATTGAAGTCAACAGGATTTTTTCCCTTAACTTTGAATTAGCCTTAAGGGGGCTTTGAATTAGCCCTTAATTAACAATTTCTGGTTTTCAACTATATTAGTTGATTATTTACAGTGTCGTAGTACAAAGTGTCTTACTATTTTTGTCCTTCAGTGTTATGTAATATGCAGATTTGAAGTAAATTTAAAAATAGACTTCTCTCTGATCTTTAGAAAGGAGGCCTTTTCTTTATATTGAAAAGACCCACAGAAGAAATCAGCAGAAATTTAATCATTGGCAGATGCAGATAATGACTCGGGTAATGAGTGCTAACTATATAATGAAGTTTTTAGCAAACAGCACAAAATCACCTCGTTCGCCCCCAACCCCATCACCATTCATGAGATGCATACAAATGGAAACTATAGTCCATCAACACATCTGCAAATTACAAAGAAGGTATTCAAGATCACACATGTCCGATTTAGGTAATCAACTGCAGCAGACCTCTAGAAAATGGTACACGTCATATGTGACAATACCAGTGTATGAAATTGTTTATGCTATACTATCACTCTGATTGAGGGTCCGTTAGCATTTGCATAACCGAATTCCATTTTCAGAGCATTTTATTCTCTAGAAAAACTTAATGCTAACTGAAATTTGGAATGACAGAGCACAGACAGGAAAGAAATATGTTTGTTTGTTTTTTCACAAATGTTCAAAATACTGCATTTGGTTCTTTTAAAGTACAGGGGTATCAATTAGAGTTGACTGTTGTCACACCCAGGTTGAGATCTTATATCTCAGCCATTTTATTTATACAAATCGCATTGATGTTGCCGTTAGAATAGGGTCCAAATCCTACAAAACCCACCTCACAGGCAGATCCCTGCACCTGTGGCAGATCATAAAGGATCAGGCCTAAAATAGCATGTGTGAAATTCTACAGAATTCACAGTCTATGGGTTTGATGGCTTTAAAACATCTATGTGCACTCCCAATCCTGATGTGCTCCAGATGCTGGATAATTTAGACTTTTCTAAATTACAACATCTTCCCTGGTCTGTGCTATGCGCCACAGTGTTGCTCAAAATCTCCACTCCCTAGGAGATTTTCCCAGTGATAGTAAGTGGGTCCTCTGAAGGCAGCCTTATAACGGTCTTAAACAGGGCCTGTGCCAGCGAAATCCTTCCCCGTTAGACACAGAGCATTTAGAGCTCCTTGATGACATTCTGGCACATTTATTTGATGATAAGGTGCCAGAGAAGGGGTGAAAAATTCACCCCATATTTTTTTAAAAGTGTCTAAAATCCTTATTTTATGTGATGTGTTGGAAATGGATCGAATAATTACAATAAATAAACAAATAAATAAATGTATTATTGACAAGTTGGAAACTCGAGACTTACAATTCACATTACATTTAATGGAAATTGAGCATCCAATCTCTGAGATGACTTTGAAAATCTTAGCTATAGTTTCACAATTTTCAGCTTCATGATTTGTTTGTTAAATGTATATCAGATTTTAAAATGAGTATCATATGTGATATTTTCCCCATTTTTTTAAACCAATGTATTGAAATGATAAAAATAAATTCAGGGAAAATGTACATTAAAATAATGTTAAGGCACTAGCGGATATTAAAAATAAAATCAGAACTCTGAATGCAAGTTAAACACTGTAATTCATGCACTTTTACTGCAGTCCATAGCAAGAAAAGTCATCTACTGTTCCAAAACTTCAACAATATTAAAGCATTGCAGAAGACTTAAGTATTTCCAGCAAGAATCATTAAAAAAAATAAAGAGCCAAGTTTCTAGAAATCAAAAGGTTAACTTAAAAACCATGAGATGTTTTTAAAAAAATAATACATTGTCCATGTTTGTTTTTGCCTTCTGGTTTTTGAGCATTTAGGGATCATGCTTTCAAGCTTTTCTCTGCAATCATCAGGGCTAGAAACTGATGTGTATATATAATATTACAGACACAGCCCCTCAGATTCTTACATAAATGATTCCGTGTACTCGGACTTAAAGAAAAACTCCAAATATTTATAATAAAATGGAAAGAGCTGGCAGCACAGTACATTTAAGCCTTAAATGTACATTTCTGAAGTTTATGTAAACTTAATTTAGAAATTACATATTATTGTAATATTAGAGACTAACATTTAGGACTCAGATACAAGAATTTTTCTTGCCACAGAGGATAACATCTGGAGTTTAGTAAACTTCAAATTTTTCAGGAGTCACAGGAACATATGTTATTTTTTACAGGCCATGTAATGCATGTTCTGTAGTATATATATATTATAACAGGAGCTTCAGCAATAGTTAAACTCATTTTAGCTCAATAAAAACATTTGAAATGTGTAGTTTAAGGAAGTAATTTGAAATGGAAAAAAATATATATACCTTTTTGTTCCAGGACATTTTTGAAACTTTTAGCCAATTTTTCCTAAACAAATTTTCATCAAAATTTTCATCCCTCCTGCAGAATTCCTAAGCTGCTTCCAATTCACAGATGAGACATTCCTCTCTAAGCTTCCAAGGGAAAAGAATTTCAGCTTATTTGCAGGAAACAGAAAATATTAATGAAGTACCCTTTGTCCTTCAGATAACAATGTGAAGGTGATATCCATTGCACTCAGAACAATTAACACTTGATAAGTTTGTATATCAACTTTCACATTCCCAACAAGAAAATTATAGTGATAAATCATATTTTCTGTCCATCCCTGATGTCTAATTTATGGAACTGGAGGAGGAGGATTGAATTTCTGATGCATTAGGCTGCTAATTTATCAGTTATTCTATCCCACACCTAACATATGTCATCAAAGGTGGGGGGAAGTTGTCTTTTAAACCTTTATTTTTAATCAGCTGGGGTAAAATAATGTTATCTCAAGCAGAACAATTGTTTTCTCAAGAATGCAAATGTACAGTGCAAGGAAGGGACTGGTGCCAGTATATCTGATGAATGTAATCAGGTTTGTTAATTGTGATATAATTAATCTCGACTACAAAATGTGCAGAACTGAGGGAGGCCTTGCTATTAAAACTCGACAGTATATTGTCAGTGTGACACTCTCCAAGTAAAGATATCAAGCCATAGCATTCTTGATACTATTTTCCAACTGGAAACCAAGTGTTTAAGACTGTTACACAAAGCTTGTATCAATATTTACCTTATTTTAAAATATTCCAATACATACATTATTTCAATAGTGTTTTAATGCATGCATTTTAGTGTAAGTGATTAGATTAATGTTCTAAATCAACAGTTTGCAGCCTCAAGGGCTTCAGTGGCAACTTGCCAGAAGCCTGAGAGCTGTATCTAATTTGCATGTACATTTACATAAATGTACATCCTGTCATGTTTGAAGTATTACACATCCAATATTACTGCACTTGCACGCTCATTTTAAAAGCTTTTTGCTATGGAAGTTCTACTAGCTTCTGGGTTAGCTTCTCATTGAACACTGGGAGGGCTGTTGACTCTTCTTCCCTCTCTTCTGGCAACTGTGAGGGCAGGGCTGTCTCCTTTCCTCTCCTAACTGCTTGGTGGAACAGGGATTGTCTTGCTCTCTCACTATGAAACTGGGGGATCAACTCCACAGAAACAAAATATAGCTATAGTCAGTAAATACTTTTCCACAAGGGATAGATTTTATGAGCCAGACCTCCAGTTAATGTAAATTCATATTTTTCTATTGCCTTCAATGGAGCTACACTAATTGACACCTCCTGAAGATCTCACCATATAACTGGAAATCAAAGAAAGCTACTGTAAGCAAAAGAGAGTAACAGAGAAGTCCCCTAGTCTGGTATTCAGTCCAGTCCTATGACACTTGACTTTGGAGCCCTCTCTGCCTCTTACTTTATAGGCCCCCTTCTAAGCATCTGCGTCTACACTGGAGTTGGAAGTGTAACTTCCAGACAAACCTGTGCCTGCTGTGACTGAGGTAGCATGTGAAAAATAGAAGCGTAGTCATGGTGGCATGATCAGTGGGAGGGGCTCGCTGCCCAAGAACAGACATTTTCCAGCCCCAGGGTAGACATACCCTGTAGGGGGGAAGGTGGTCTTGGACCACATAGTGACTCTTCACTTTCTTACAGCCTACTTTTCCATCCTAATTGCTGGATGGTCCGCCCAGGCAAGAAGGGCACAAATCACTCCCCCCCACCTCCAGCATCATTGGCTGCTGGCAGTATG